TGGCTCCCATGGGGGTGGCTGCGGGTGGGGGCAGGGCAGCCGACGCGGCGGCGGAGCTCCCAGAGGTAGAGGCCGCAGCGGCTGCGCCGCCGCCGTGGCCGACGCGGCGCGCCGGGCAGGCCGCTGCCCGCGGGGCAGCGACTGGGCGCTTGGCGGCGGCGCTACGGCGCGTGCTCGACCTCGAGGCGCTCGTGGAGGGCTTGCAGGCCGACCTGCGCCGCGCGGTGGCGGCGGGCGAGGCCGCGGCCCTTGCCGCCTCCTGCGCCGCCTCTGCCCCTGCAAGCGGCGGAGCCGTGGCCGCTGGCGTGGGGGCCGCGCGCGGTGCTCCCGAGTCGGCAGCCGTGGCGGCTGAGCTCGTGCAGCGCCTGGCGCTCGTCGCGCCCGTGCTGGAGACGGGCATCGAAGGCGCGGGCGCGAGCGCCATGGAGGTGGGCAGGCGCAACGTAGTCTCCCACCCCCCCGCGCTTCCCGCCGCGGACGTGCGCGCGATGCCTCAACGCGAGCTCAATCGCATTCAGCGCGAGGCGAGACGCGCACCCAGGCGGGGGAGGCGCAGCATACCCTGCGGGGGGCAGTCGGCGCTGGCGCCGAGGGCTCCAACAGGGAGGCGGGCTGCGGTGCCGCTGCGGAGGCCCCAACCGCCGTGGAGGTGGCCTTCGCCGCATCGGCGGCTGCCAGCGGCTCGCTCGGCGTTCGGCGCGGCGCCGACCGCCTGAGAGGAGTTGGCGGCGAGACGCGGCCGCGCTGCGCGCAGCGCGCCGCCTTCCTCTGCAGGCGCCGCGCGCCGCGACGCCTCCGCACCGCCGCCCAGGCCCCCCGGCGCCGTCGCCGCCACCGGTCGTGAGCGGGGCGCGCTGGAGGGCCTGGGAGGCCGATGCGCTCGGCAGGAGCGGCGCCGACCTGGAGTCCGACGCTGCCCCTTCTGGTCTTCATGGCGGTGCGGTGCAGGATGAGGGGGATGGTGGACACCCTGCCCCTGGGGCTGCGGGACGGGGGTCTGTCCATCTTACTGGAGTCGGCGCGCGCGCAGGCGGCGCCGACGCGTACGGCGCGGCGATCGGCGAGAGCGTGGAGCTGGAGGTCGGCGCCTTCGACGACCACCCGTCCGCCGTCGGGCACGGCGTGGACGACGACGTGGGCATGGTGAGCGGCGTCGGCGACGAGGACGACCTGCCCTTCTTCGATCCTGATGGCGACGTCTCGGGAGGAGACTGCGACGATTTCGAGGATGCGCTGCGTTGCGAGGGGGAAGGTCCTGGCGGTTGTCATGCTGCTGCGGATGCGTTGGATGCTGATTCGGAAGATCCTGACGATCTTCATGGTGCCCCTGGGGGTGGGCATGCTGGGGCTCGTGCTCGCGGGGTCGACGAGGGCCGAGCTCGAGATGGTCATCGTGCCGTCGGCGTGGCCTGCGCCGCCGTCTCGGTCGACGTTTGTGGCAGGGGCGGCACGGTCAAGGAGCTGCGGTCCGACGCCATGCCCGACGCGGAGTGCCTGGTGCAGTCCGCCGCCCTGCTGGGGGGGCGGCGCGCCTGCTGGGTGGCAGCCCGTCGTCTCGCCTGCCCGCCGTCTCCTGGTCCCCCGTGGCCACGTGGAAGCGGCCATGCGCGTGGAGGCGAGAATGGGGCTTCATGCTGCCAGGTGCATCCAGTGGCACTGGCGCATTCTGGCCTGCAGTGCTCAAGGCGGAGCTGCAGCAGATCCGCGCTGAGCGGCGTCCTGGTCGGTTGGCGAAACTCGAGAAGGCCAAGCGCGGCAGGTACTGTAAATGGGAGGGCGCTTGTTACAGGCTGGACATTTTGTAGCTGCCTGCGCGCGCCTCGTTGCCGCTGGATCGACTGCTCGTCCGAAGCCACGGGTGCCTGGCGGCGCGGCTTGCGAGCTGGCCGCTCTGAAGGGCGGGCAGGGTGTGAGGGGCGCCCAGCCTCCCCAGGACGATGCTGCGCGCCAGCGGCCGAGCCTCGACTCGTCCGCTGCCGCGCCGAAGGCGGCGCGAGAGAGAGAGAGAGAGAAAGACAACAACGCGAGAAACAAGAGAGAGAGAGAGAGCGAGAAATAGAGAGAGAGAGAGACAGAGACAGAGAAGGAGAGAGAGAGAGAGAGAGAGAGAGAAGGAGAGAGAGAGAGAGAGAGGGATAGAGAGAGAGAGGGAGAGAGAGAGAGAGAGGGAGAGAGAGAGAGAGAGAGAGAATGAGAGAAAGAGGGAGGGAGAGAGCAGCCGCGAGAGGAGCGGCGCGGGCAGGGTGGCGGGCGGGGGGGCAGGGCAGGGAGGCGGGCGGGGCGGTGAGGGAGGCGGGCAGGGTCAGGGGTCGGGGAAGGCAAAGGGCGAGGGGGAGAGGGAGGAGAGGGCACGAACGGGAAGGGCAGGTGAGGGGCGAGGCGGGCGGGGAACCGTGCGGACGTGCAGGGAGGCAGGGGGAGCGCGGACGCCTGCAGAAATGACTCCGCCCTCGCCCACTCCTCTTCAGCTGCCTCCGCCCTGCCCCCTCCCCTCCCTGCCCCCTGCCCCCTGTGCCCTTCACATCCCTCCTTCCCTCCCTCTTCCTCGTCTCCCTCCATCCCTCCTGCCTCCTCGCCCCTTCCCGCGCCTCTGCTTCCGCCCCGTTTTCCTTGCCTCATCCCGTCTCCCCTCCTCCCCGGATCCCTCCTCTCTCCTTCCCGTTCGCCTCCGACGTCTTGCCTGTCTCCCTCCCTTCGCACTCCTCCATCCTTTCCCCACCCTTTTTCCCTCCTCCTCTACCTGATCATGCTCCCTGCTCCCTATCCGCATCCTCCTTCCAATCCTCCTCATCGATCCTTCTGGCCAGGATCCTCATTACGAGCCTCTCTTTGCCCTCCTCGTCATCCTTATTCACTGCCGCCTCCTCTCCATTGTCACCCTCATTGTCCTCCTCCTCCTCCTCCTCGTCCTCCTCATCCTCCTCCTCATCCTCATCCTCCTTCTCCTCGTCGTCCTCATCCTTCCGTTCGCACTGTATGTTTGGAGGGGGTTCAGGAAGTTCCCGCGTTGGCAAGGCCAGAGTTGGCCCGAGCATCGTACTAGGATCGTGGTTTGCCGTGGGGGGCCTGAGGACATGAAGGGACGAGGAGGAGTAGGACGAGAAGAAGGAGAATAGCGAGGATGGAAGATGAGGAAAATGACACGTGGAACAGAGGAAGCGAGGCGGAGGAGGGCGGAGTACGGAGGAGGAGGGAGAGGATAACAGGAGGAGTCGAGGAGAGTTGATGGATGATGGGAATGACAGATGAAGAACGATGGAGGAAGCAACATGGAGGCGGAATGAGGTAAGAATCCCAGGGAGAGGAAGCATGTGGACGGAGTGAGGACGTAGGAAGTCGTGGGAAGAGTCTGGGGAGGCGAAAGAGGACGAGTAGGAGTTGCAGGAGGAATGCTAGAGGATGGGCGAATCATGAAACACGACTGAGGACGGATGTCGCAGGAATGTGGAGGAGGTTGGGAGGCCAGGAGGGAAGAAGGCTTGGATGTGAGGGGGAAGAGGAGGGAAGATGAATTGGAGGAATGAGGAAAAGCAGCAGGAAGGGAGACACGGGGATGGAGCAAGGATGAAGTCGGCGGCGCGCCGAGGGGAGCCGTGCGAGGGGGCCGGCCTTCTCAGAAGGCGGCGGGGCTTCTCTATCCTCCGGCCTCCCCTGAGGCCGTCCTGCGGCTTCGGAGAAGGCCCCGAGAGCTTCTCGGAAGGTCGGAGGCTGGCTGAGCCTTCTGCGGAGGCCCTCTGCCCTCTGCCCTCCTCCCCCGGGCGCGTCGCCGCTGAAGGATGGCCGAGAGCAGGACGGCGAAGGGGCCGAAGAGGGCCAGGATTGCCAGCAGCAGCGCGCGCACAGTGTCCCGACGCAGGGGGGCCCGACGGGTTGGGGGAGGTCCCCAGGAGGTTCCGCTGAAATGAAGCAGCCCGCACTGGTCTCCGCGGCGTCCGCCGGTACCGCTGGACTTGCTGGCAGCTTATTTTCGGTTGATCGCGCGGTGGGCGACCACAGACGACCATGATTGGGGGGTGATCCCGTGATCGGGATGACAGTGGTTGGCGCATGGTCCTTATGAAGAGCGCGGCGATCGGCAGAGTGATCGGAGGCGTCATCTATCTGATCGCCAGATTGGGTGCTGCGATTGATCACACCATCTTCAATATGCTGAGGCTGTCGCACCTGCGATGGAGCTTTCCCGTCGGCCTTCCCCGAAGGAAGGGGCGGCAAAAGCCGGGAAGCGGGGCGGACTGTCTCCCTCTCACTCCCTCTCTCTCTTTATGCTGTTTGTGTTTCTATATATATATATATATATATATATATATCGTTCTCCCTGTCGCTGTGTATGTTTGTACATGTGTTTGTATACCTCATCCTCCGATCCATTCTCGTCACATCCCTCCCTCTCCAGCACGTCAACGGGAACTACACCCTCCTCATCCTCCTCTTACAGCCACTCTGATTCTCCCCATTTCCACAAGTTTGGCATCCTACCCCACATTCCCTTCATCTCCCTCCTTCATCCAAGTATCCCATCCCCTCAGCATCCTGATGGTTTTCTCCTAGGAGGTGAGGATGAGGAGAAGGAGGATGAAGAGGAAGATGAAGAGAACGCGGAGTAGGAAGCGGAGGAGCAGCAGCAGGAACACGAGGAGGCGGACGAGGAGGAAAGCGTACGAGCAGGAGGGGGAGGGGGGTGCAAGGTGGCGGAGGAATCATAGATGTGCACCTGCACAATTGGCCTGCCCGATCTTGCCTCTCTGCGGTCGGCTACACAAAAATAGTGGCCCTTCGTCAGAGTGACGCGTGGCCGGGTCCTCATGTTCGCATGGTGGGGAGGATCCAGACCCCCAACGTCATGATTTTTTCATTACGTCGACCCTTGGAGGTCTCGATCCATTCTCTTGGACCGGTTTTTCATCCGTAGTCGTTTTTTGACGGTCTCGAGGGCCCGTAACGGCCCCCAGATGCCGAAAATAGCAAAATAATTCCAGTCATTTATTTTCTTCATTATCCGATGGGGGTCTGGGGAGCTGGGTGTGTTCTGTCAGCGCCCAGCATGCGAGCGCTCCGCAGCTGTTTCGGGCCAAGCCCTTTGCAGCCCTGTTTTGCAGTGGGCCGGCGCGCTGTGCGTGCCCCTCGTGTGCAGGCGCCGAGACTGCCGGGGCAGGCATGCCGGAAGACAAGAAAGAGTCCAAGGACGTGGACATGAAAGACGCGGATGCCGACAAGGAGAAGGACCGGACGGCGGCAAGTTGCAGGGACCAGCCAGATGCTCTTTGGCGTCGGCCTATCCATCTTTCCCCCCCCTCCTCCCCCCCTCCTCCCCCTCCTCCTCCTCCTCCTCCTGCTCCCCCCCCTCCTCCTCCTCCTCCTCCTCCTCCTCCACCTCCCTCCTCCTCCTCCTCCTCCTCCTCCTCCTCCTCCTCCTCCTCCTCCCCCTCCTCCTCCTCCTCCTCCTCCTCCTCCTCCTCCTTCCTCCTCCTCCTCCTCCTCCTCCTCCTCCTCCTCCTCCTCCTCCTCCTCCTCCTCCTCCTCCTCCTCCTCCTCCCCCCCTTCCTCCGTGGCTGCTTTGGCTCAAGTGGCGAACCGCCCTGGCACGAGGCAGGTCGGCGGGCTGCGTGTGCCGCCCCGGCTCGCTCCTGCGTGCGAGGCAGCGCCTGCTCGGGCGCCATGGCACCCGCCCGCACGAGGCGTGGCAGAGAGGGCCTCGCCTCCGGCGCACCCGCGTCTTCGGCGGCAGCCAGCGGAAGGAGACCGGCGGTGGGCCCGCCGGCCACAAGTTGGCGGAAGGCTGACGGAGGGCGGCGGGAGGAGAAGTTCTCGACTAGACGCAGTATGAGTGACCTTTCGCCAGATTGACCTTGGGTGCGAGCCCACTGGGGTCCCCCGATCACCGGGCGCGAAGCGGTAGCAGCGGCTTGCGCGCCCAGCCAGGCGTGGGCACCCGGCGTCCCCAGGTAAGCTGCTCACTCTTGCCCAGGGTCACTCTTGCGTGTAGTCGAAGTTCAGAGCTCCCAATCATCAGGGCTCGGGGCGGCCTGGGGTAGCTACAGATTCGCGCCTCGGGGTTCCATCTGGAGCTGCCCTGGACCGCAGTTACCTGGGATACTTCGGGCGTCCGTCCAAGCCTTCCGAGTCATCGGCGCTGGGAGCAGTCAGGGGTAGTTACTGGTTCGGGCCCCGGGGGCCCAAATCAGAGTTACCCCGGATCGCAGTTAACTTGGATATTTCGGGCGTCCAACAAGTGATCGACGGCAGAAAACTGGGTCGCCTGCGCCGACATTCGCACGCAAGCTGCCCGCGTAAGGCCGCGCGTAAGCGCCCTCGTTTCCAATGTTGCGTGCCGCGCTGGCGGCCGCGTAAGCCGCCGCGTACGGTCGCTGTGCCATCTCGCGTGAGACCCGTTTCTTTCCGTCGCTCAGTCGAGACGTCTGCATCGTGGGGCTCAGGCTTCCGGAGCTGGCTACTTGGTGGCTGCTGGTGGCGCTCGCCACGGCAGCCCCGCAGCCTCGGAGGGACCGCGAGCAGCTGCGAGCTGCGCGGGCGGCGATGTCGAACTGAGAAGGGCAGCCGGGCCGATGCCGGTGCGCATTCCAGCCCCGCGCGGCCCTCTGATGGCTCAGTCGGCGCCAGGAGAAGTGGGGACGATGCCCGACAGCAGATGTTATTCACGATTGCAGCAGCTGTCGGGCAGTCCGCGCTTGTCGTAATCAAGTCGGACATGTCCCTCTACAGCAGGAGAATTCAAAAATAGTAAAAATAATGGTCAGGGGACGATTTTTCTTTTATTTGTGGACTATTTCTGAGCATTTTTCTGACTATGATTCACTCTTCGCCCAAAATCCGCCTGTAGGAGGACATGCCCGACCTAACGCTTGTCCCAAGTCGACAACGTCCGCGGCGACACCGGCCACATGTCCTGTTCAGAATGTGCAGGAACTGCTGTCGCCAAGGGCAACGACAGGGGGGAACTGGCCCTGGGGGGAGCATCGACCCCTCCAACTGCCCACCCATCGTCGCCAATTGGGCCCTTTGCCCCCCAGACCCACCCATGACCGTTTGGCTTCGCAATGGAGGGCTCTATCGTTGATTTATCGGAGATGTGTTGCCAGTTCCAGGCCACTGTCTCCCTCCTTCTCCTCCGCCTCCTCCTCCTCCTCCTCCTCCTCCTCCTCCTCCCTGAGCCAAGCCTCCCGTTTCGACTCCTCTCGTGCTGGTCTTCGTCCCCAGTATTTCTGTCCCCACGTCTGTCGCACCGAGCCACGGCACCATAATTACCTGCGCATGCTGGCCCCCCCGGCCGCGCCTGCTGCACAGGGCGAGTCGGCGCACGCGGAAGGCAGTAGGTTTAAGTCGGGCCAATCCCTCTACAGGAGGAAGATTCAATAGTCAAAAAAACATCACGGGACGATGTTTTGACTATTTTGGGGGATGTTCGAGTATTGTTAGGGTATTTGTAAGTTTCGTCCGAATCCGTCTGTAGGAGGACACGCCCGACCTGACATTAGACGTGGCGGATCGGTCCATCATGGCCATGCGGAGCTCTTGCAAGTTAGCCATCGCGGCCACGATCGTACGATCCTGCACCCCGGATCGCACGATCCTGCAGGCAGGAGGCTGCGGGGCCAAAGGTGCGCAGCCGTCCCCCGATGTGCGCCCGGACTGGGGTGCGTGCCCGCCGTGGTGCTCCGGGCTCGTCCTGGTCGAGCTCGCCGTGGTGGCGTGCTCGGCGCTCCCCTGCTCGAGGCCACGGCGCCACGGTGCCAGTGCTCGATGCCTGTCTGGCGTCAGTCCTGACGGTTTCCGGATCGATCCTGCTCGGCCTTGCTGGTGCTTGCCGATCTGCTGTCGCTGCCGATTCTCAGCCGGTGCTTGGCCGATCAGATGCTCGGATCGATCCAGTTCGACTTACCGATTCGATGCGAGGGCCACTGGCAGTGGAGCTGCTCTCCAAGCTGCTCGCCGTGGCCACGGGCCCTGGTGCGCGTGCCCGCTCCTGGGCTCAAACACGAGCTTCCCAGCGTATGCGGGGTGGGGTCGGGGGCCATTGGCCTCCGTGTGCATGCCTCCCCTGGGTCCGCAGAGGCTCCAGCTCATGCCGGAGTAGGCGTAGGGCCCTGGGGCTCGGGTGCAGTTGCCTGAGGCGCTTGCCCAGCAGATGCTGGAGGGGGTGGAGCTTTTTCGGGCCTTCGCCAATGCCAGATTGATTGGCCCCGGGCTCGCAGTGTAATGGCTGTTCGAGTTCGCTTCTGAGCCCGAGCTCGCCGACGGGTGACAGCTAGAAGCTCGAGATTGCTGCATCGCCTTCGCTGAAGAGGAGATGCCGACTGGCTGAGGTGGCTGTGGTGTCCCTGCTCGGAGTTGAACTGCTATTCGGGAGTGTGCGCGGCGATCGAGCTCGCCCTGGGGCTACGACCTGAGACAATAGAGTCTGGGGACGATTCTGCCAATTTCTTGGGGGAGTTTAATTTTTCCTCAAAAATCCGCCGGTAGGGGGACATGCCCGACTTAACACAACGTGGGGCCCGGTTCCGTCCTGGGGTTGCTGAGTGGGTAGGCGTTGGGGCTGCATGTGAAGCCTGCTGTTGCGGTGCCCTCTAAGCTGGCCGTGGCGGTCCTGCGTGGCGAAGTCATGGGCGCCAAGCGTTTCAGGTGCGCAACCCTGGGTCACGAAAAGGGGGCGTGCACGAAATCCTTTCGAAATGAGAACGGGGCTGCTTTGACTGCCCGAGTGGCCTTGGCGATCGCGAAGTGGGCCGCTTGCCGCGCGTGGATGTTCATTGATCCCCTGGCAGCTGGCCGTCGTGCTTCATGCTTGCACGAGCACGAACGCGCGGCCGCGCGAACACGACATTGCTTCGCCACGAAGACGGTACGTTTTCCCGCACGATCGCGAAACTAATTCCGCGCGGATGCGAAACCTAGACCGCACGAGCACGCAATCGAGCGCGAATTGCTGCACGAACTCCGGCACAACATGCGACACGAAGTGGAGCACGAAATTGCAGGCAGGAAATTTCTGCACGAATGTCTCAAGCGGTTTCTGGTTTGGGGGGGGTGCTCGCAGGCGGAGCCGGGCGCTCGCAAACGAGTCTGGGGAATTAATTTGGGTGCTTTCTCATGCGGCAGCTCTGGGGCCACTTCGTGCGCGCCAGTTCGTGCGAGCCTCTTCCCGCAGGCCATTTTGCGCGGGCGTCGTCCTCCCGGCCGCCCGTGCTCTTGGCTGCTGCCAGCAAGCCAGATCGCTTGCGAATGGAGCGCCGTTGCGGGTTGCCAGGGGCTGTCGTCCCGCTGCGCCGCGGATGGCGCATCACACAAATTTTCCAGGGGCGCCCAAAGCATTTCGTGACCCATTTCGTTTCTTATCTGACTGTCGAGATGGTCGTTGGCCATTCATGGCGGTCGCCGCATGTTCGGGGCAGGGAGGAAGGCAGCAGCAGGTCGGCATCATTGCTTCCCCCATGACATTACGCTTCCTCGTCAACCTCTCATTCTTAATGTTTGCCCTCCTTTTTATTTCTTCCTGATCTACAATGCTTGCAGTGCTGCATCGCATCCTTGATCGCATCCTTCCGTTGCGAAGTCGCTTGGAGCTTGAAGTCGTTCGAAGTCTGAATGGGCATCGGGTTCGATTGACACAGCTGTGGCTACCGTAGTTTTTCCGTCGCGCTGTTTCATTTCTTCTCTTCGCACTCGCGGACAGGGATTTCCTGCAGCCGATTCTCCATGCGATGGGCCGCCTCAAGGCTGATCCGTTCTGGTGGCATCCAGCAGGCTGTTGCCAATCGGCAGCGCAGCAGGGCACGCCGAGAGCTGGGGGGCTCCGAGGAAATGTGGAGGGGCAGCTTATTGAACCCGATGCACGAGCCCGACGTGAACCTCCGTAAGTCGCACATTTCAGCCTTGGCGAGCTGGGGGAGCCAAAGTCATCGTTGGTGGTCCAGCCAACTAACGACATTTGGATTTTTGCATCGCGCGCGGGAAGGAGGTTTATCTCTCGCAGGTTGTCGACGACGCGGCGGAAGGCCACGCCGGGGCCATGACAAAGAGCACGAACGTTGTCAGTTGATTGGTGCTGCGCATCGTGTAATGGTCTCAGTTTACTGGTGACCTGCCTTCTGTTCGGGGATTTGATTTTACGCCTGCCCCGGGTGCTGCCCTCCGCACGCCATTCATCTGTCTTGTTTTCTGACCAGCCACGCCTACACGTGCCTCCTCCTCCTGTGGCCCCAGAC